CAAAATCAACAACATTTACAACAAAACAACCCACAAGTGGAAAACCAACCTCTGGATCAACAACCATTCATGGAGAAAGTGACCATATACTGGAATCATCCACTGTTTCAGAGGAAACCTTGGGATCAACACATAGTTCTCAAACACAAACAGCTACGTTGGTTTCATCACTACCAAATTTACAACACACTACAAGTTCAACAACAAAATCAAAAGCTTCAAAGCTTCCAACAACATCAACACCACATATAGGAGCAACAATTAAAATAACTACATACAAGTTAGAATCTATGTCAACAAAACAAACACCGCAAACTACAAGATCTTTAACAATTGTTCAAACTGATGCAAAAACAGAATTTAGTCCATCTACATCAACTTCAACATCAGTGTCACATACTGCAACAACCAGTATTTCTATGCAGCAAGAAAAATCAACTCAGATTACAAGTTTAACTACTAAATCAGGGAATCCAGTTCAAACATCATCTTTTGCTGTAAAAAACACAGGGACATTTGCTTCAAAGCAACCCACAACTATAAATCCATCTGGTGGACCAACAACAACTCAAGTTAACACAATAAGTAGGTCAGCTTCATTGACAACCAGTCAAACAATGATAATAACAAAGACTAGTGAAAGGGATAAAACTGCAAACCACTCACAATCTAGTACAGCAACTAAAACTCCTTATAAAACTCTAACATCTATCACAGATCATACAACAATACCAATGGGGAATTCCGAGACAGCAATTAACCCTGCAATGCCATCTTCATCTATGACTCTAACAAAAACAACTATAAAGGCCACATCTTTAACACCATCGGAAATGACAGGATTGAAAACCGAACTAACCGAAAGGTTCACAAATACAAAATCCTTCAACGCAACAGATCAAACTGCTAGACCAGATGTTGCTCTAACACAAACGATAACTAGTGTAGCTATTCAACAAGAAAAATTAACAAAGATTACAAGCTCAACAATTCAATCAACTGAGCCACTCGAGAATTCCTCATCTGTGAGGACCAGTTCAGAAAGAAAAATATCAGCTCCAGCTGCTGCACAAGAACCAACTGCAAAACAAATAGTGGGACTGACAACATCTCAAGTAATAAACAGTGGACAAGTCTCTTTGTCAAAAGCGAGCACAACACAAACTGCTTGGTATGGGGCATCCATGCAAAACTCCACAACCTTACAAGTGGGTCAAACTACTGTGAAAGGTCTAATAGCTACCACACATCATACATCTACTAACATGGTGGAGTCCTTTGCAACAACATCAACCATGAGACCACCGTCATCTGTGATTTCTGCAACAGAACAAACATCTATCAGTTCAATAGGTATATCTCCATATGTAAAACCAACCACAATAGACACTGTAGTAACACAATTACATAACACTTTGAATGTAAGTCAAGAGACACAAACTGTAGCTGCAGAAACAACCGAGGCACTTGTACCAGTAAAATCATTCACTGCTGATAAAGAAAGTATTGGATCAACAGCAGTTGATAAAAAAATTGACTCTGCCGACACCACAATGTCTATGGTTACATCTCCTCAAGAAACAACACCAAGAACCGCTTACACAATGGCTCTTGGGGAGGAACCAAAAGCCATAACAGGTATGTCTGGATGAAGAAATATTTCCCCTAAAGATCAAAATGCTACTACAATCATACAAAACCATCTGCCATAAACTAACATTTGTCTTTTCTCAATTTTTCTTTCACAGGCAAAGAAGATCAAAACGTAACCTCTTTACAAAGTTTGCAGTCTTCCAACACAAGTTCACAACCATCTCTCAGAGCTTCATTGGACCCAGTCGGCACAACCAGGACCACTTTTTTTTCAATTAAAATAGAAGAAAACCATTCAAAAAGCACATCCCCTTGGGCCTCTGAGACCACAGAAATGGATAAGGTTACAACAAAATCTACAGATGTTGAGCATGAAAGCACAGAGACAACAAACTCAAGTTTACATGCATCATCAGCTAACCAACTACAATCAACGCAAGTGAAATATAATGCAACTACTTTGCCTGTTTCTCAGAACAGGACAGTGTTTTTCAAATATAGTCAGAGGGTTGTTGTTCCAAGGCGTTTAATCTTTGACTATCCAGTGGTGGAGCGTGCTACGTTTTTCACAAATAATACAGAGAATGATGATGCATAAAATAAACTAAGTATGGAGGCGTTTATCGTCCAAGATGATGGAAACTGCAGATCTAATTACTAATTAGATATCTTTTTTATATGTATATTTTTAACGGCTTTTATGTTCAAACTTTTTATATGTTTCTCTTTTGATCTGTTAAGATTTTATCAACTGTGTATAAAATTTATTAGAAAAGATGTTTGATCATCTTAAATCTGCAGAGAAAATTAAAGATTTAAATTATTAGATGCAGCATTTGGGCTGCATCCAGTCTGTAGAATATTCATAATCAAACATTCATGGATTGTTTATTTTGTACATAAATGCATTTTTTTTTTATTGCAGAATCCAACATTTACCATTGTTGTTTATCTGACAAAAAAGGATCCTCCGGTGTGTTAGAGTTTATACTGATACTGATACTTTTTACCAGTTTTTACCAATACAATATAAAATGAAAATAAAACATTTTAAGGTGTAATTTGGGATATGATATTTGCTGATGTTTTCATTTTTCGTGGATGGACATTTTTCAAACTAATAACACATTCAGCCTATGGCAATTTTCTGTACTGAATAAAGATAATAAAGCAGATGACAGTTAAAGGAATAACATATAATACATACTTATAGTTTCCTAGTTAGGATACCATGACATCAATTTAGTCAGGAAGCTCGAACCGTAATGGATATGGAAATCCGTCTGGAGCTGTGGCTATTCTAAACTGTGCAATTAGCAGGGTTTTTTTGTTTTTTTTTAACAAAATAAAATATTTCATAAAAGAATAAATGATACTTTGAATCATCTTTATAGCCATCAGGCACTTTATTAAAATTAGAATTAAAAGAATCTGCCATGATGTGATTCGAACATAGTTTGCTATATCAGCTTGGACACCACAGATTGTCCAGTTGATTTTGTCAACTTTCCGGATCGAAATTTGAAGCAAAACTGGGTCCTTCAGATAAACATTCCTTTTCCCATTCCGAAGCCATTCCTACAACTGGCAGTAGCACAAAAGACCATTCTAATGACGTTTTAACAATCCTTTCAGAGTGCTTAACAATGAGTGGAGTAGTGGTTCTATACACCCGCCCCAGGACATTTGACTACACTGATGTCACAGTTGTGTTTTGTCACGTGACTGCTTGCTAGAGGTGCCTAGCATGCTGTAAAATTCTCTAGATTTTTATTACTTGGAGCATTTTTAGAGCAGTTTAGACCAGCCGCATAGAGAAAAGAAAGGATAATCTACCATGACACACGATAAAACTTCCCTAGATATACTCCTTTCTGTTTGAACTTTAATTAAAATGATGGAAACAGGTTATTAAAATGCAAATATGCTATATGATAGATACTTTATTATTCCTTCTAGTCAATTTCTCATGCATTAGAGTTTCTTTGCATTCTTAGGAGTCGAACCTTTTATGTAAGAGACTAAAAACCCTGGTTAGTAAGCAAATTACGGTTTTAATCACTCAACTGATAATTATTAACTAGTTTTACCTTTGATTTGGAATGAACTATTGATTAACTATAACTTCCAGTTCTAGTTATTTAATATATTCATAGTCTATTGGTTAACTTGCAAACACCGGCATATGTGAATGCTTGTCGCAGGACTCAAAATTCAGCCAGACACAACAGGGAACGATTAAAGGAATTTTGCTGCAGAAAAAATGCTCAGCAGGGGGATGGGTTCAAGGCTGAGCTGATTTTTTAAAGATTATTTTTTAGGCTATAGTGGCATTTATTTTGTTATCTTTAAAGTACGCAGAAAGGGAAGTGGGCTACAAGAGAGGGGAGACACATTCAGCCAGGATGGGACTGCAACAATGGGTCATGGACTCTAAAGGCTGATTTATACTCAGAAACCAGGGCGTCTGCGTGTGTGTGTTGCAGTGAATGCAAATGTGGAAAACGACTTCTGAAGTTGGACCAGCTAGAAGAGCGAGATGCGCGAGAACGCTGGGACCCTTTTTCCACCTGGATCCCTGCTCTTTTTCGCCCTCATGTCCCTCCATTGTAGCACAAACTTGCCCTCACTTCCTCACCACCTCAGCCTTATCTAGACCCACAGCTAGTTCCTGATTGCCCTTCTTGTGTTGTTGCGTGGAATAACATAGTGCAGACCCCGCTTCAATATTGGGCATAAATCGAAAATATCTGCAACAAGTTCATTGCGATACACTGCTACGGCGTGTATAGCCAGCCCTTATCTACACTTCACAGCAGCACCTCGTGGCTAGAGGTGCTGCTGTGAATTTCTTTTAAATTAAAAGACTTACCTACTTACTGTAGAGGCAGCAGTGTGCAGCGCTTGGCAGGTCTTGACTGTATTCCTGGCATCCTGATAATGACTCGTAGCTTTTCCAGACTTGTGGACAACCCACGACTGCAGCATGGAGAGATGGAACCATGGACCCGCTCTACTTGATTGTGAAATTTTTTTGCACGAAACCATAGATAAAGAAATGGTAAGAAGCCAGTGGTGCTCAAAGGGGAGAGTTTTTAGAGTATGTTCCATCCAAGGTAGATTGTGTGACTACTTCGATGAATTATAAGGATTCAAGGTGCAAAGTTTAGTCACAACCTCCTGGTTAACCCTCTCTGACTATCAGACCGTGGCTAAAAGCCAAAGGATGGATTGAATGAATTTCCCAACATGGAGCAGAACCCTCTCCAAAAACGGGAAACAAGCTGAGGTCCATGACAAGATCATATGTCAGATCATGAAGGCGGATTGTCTCTCTTGCTGGGATCTCTGTTTTTTAATGTGGCAAAACTTGAGAGCTAGCTTCTTTTGTTTTTTGTTTTCTGAAAATTTCAATTAGTTTCGTTATGCTCTTCATTTTTACCTACAACCAAGATTGCTTACTTTCTGTGTGTGAGTTTTTAATAACAGTTGGAAATGTCACTTCACAGCCAGAAAGTCTTCAGTTTTAATTTGTATTCTCTCTCAGTGAGGTTTGTATGTGGGCACTCTGCCATCTCTGGTTTACCTTTGCAAGGAATCGCTTTCATTTTTATTTGTAAAAACATTTTAAAGTAACTTTTGTGGCTTCTAAGTCAGAAATAAAAACATGAAATTCCCTTTGAAAAATCAAATATGAAATTCCAATTAGCAAAATGACTCACAGTAGATTTCATCTTTTTTTTTTTTTTAGCTTTCTTTTGTTTTGATTATTAAGATTTGTTTTCCACTCCCATTATTAAATACTTGCATCCTCCATCTGTTGCCAGTGTGGGACATCAGTATGAACCTTCACACCTTACATCTATATTCGGGAAGTAGCACAAGCAGTGAGCACTTTTTCTTAATACCTCTGAATGAGGGCCAAAAAAAAAAAAAAAAATTACAAAAGTAAAACAAACCTCCATCTTTGCATTCTTCGGACCAAATGAAGCAGATTCACTGATCATGTTGCTTTCTTAGTCATGAAGTTTCTCACAGTGGATTTTATCTTCAGTGCAATTCCTGTTTGAGTATATGCAGTGAACTGATAAGCTGATGAATGAAGATGCATTCTTCGTCTGGTAACACCAGTTTTACTGCTGTTTATATCTTTGTGTGAGTATCTGCAAAAGGTGATTTAAGCTTTTCTGCAAACTTAAGGTTGCAGGCACTGATAAGAATATACATTTATAATAAATGTTATCACTTATAAATCGATGTGATTTTTATTACATTAAAATTAGATTCCGTTGTGAAAACAACCACCTAAAATAACTCAACTGAACTGTTAAGACCAGTGTTTTTTACTGTTAAGTGAATTACACCGTGTACATTTTAAATGTAGCTTAATGTAGCTTTGTTTTCTATGATAGAATCTACTGCCACTCAAACTATACTGGAGAAAGGTATTTTCATGGTATATAAGGTGGTTAGCAAATGTATAATATGTTGTGGTGTAAACCTTAAGGCCAAATCCACATTAGGTTCTGAACTTGTAAAGGAAACTGTTGGAAAGAGAAAAGATCAGTGGTGATTAGCATGAAAATGAATCAGTAATTTGAAAAAAACAACAACCTGGAATATGTGCCAGTGACTACTTTATCAGTTTCTAAAGCACAAAATAGTAAAGACTTATTAAGATGGGTTCTATTTTGTGAATAAGGTTACAATACCTATATTGAAGTCCAATATTTATGTACTGTAGGTGTCTTTTAAAAGTAAGTACCTCTAACCCAGTGCTTTTGGGTTCAGCAGTCTCCCTTCAGTGTAATTACCTTTGACAGAGTGAAATCTACCTTTTACCTTGTGTTTTATTTATTATAGAAACTACACTTTTCATGCCTCATCCTCTCAATAGAGATTGTTGCTTATACTGAGCTTGGCTTGTGAAGAAGAGGTTATTGTACAATGAAGGACTCATTGATGTTGGCTAGGAGTTCTTACACTGATTACTTAGCAATTAGCATCGTGTACTACGATGTTTCGATCTGGAAAGATCAAGTTTCTGTACAACTGTTTATAACTGTGTGTGCTGTGCTATACGTGTGTTGAGAAACTGAAAATTCAGCAGCTCCCGTAGTAAAATTCCTTTAAGCCACATACAATTTGCAAACAGATGTGTGTACAACTAGTAAATGAAATTCTGGGAAACAGGATGCTAAAAAGCTGTTTTCTAAAGGCTATAGGATATACTTGACATACCCTTAAGAGTCCCAGAGTGGGGAAATGCAGGTGTGCCAGTGGCAAAGTAATTTGGTAAACGAGAGCATGTAGGTACACTGAAGACTAGAAAATAATCCTGTTAATAGTATGAATATGTCTAACAGCTGTAGGGAGGAGGGATCTGAGGTATTTTAATGTGTGCACCTCAGGTATAGCTGTCTTTCACTGAGGGATCTCTGCAGCTCTGAAACAGCTCCCTGCATGCAGTAGATGACATTGTCCAACAGTCACAGTGCTGCTGGTCTGTAGCCTCAGAAGCTCCTAAAATCTGGGCTTGGAGCACAATCTTCCACAGTTTGTTTCTCTGCTTAATTTTTAGAGAGACAGGAAAGAGAAGGTGTGGCTGTTTCATACAGTAATATAGGGTTCAAGAAAACAGAAGCAGACATAAAGAAAAAAGCAGAGATACAAAAGGAAATCCAGCTACACACGGCCCGTCCAGGAAACACACAGCCAGGCAGATAACCTTCAAGATAGCTCCCATATCCAAGGACAAAAAGAGAGCACATACAGGTAGTCACTCCAAAATCTATAAAGAAAAGGTGTTGATGAAAGCAGCACAGTTGATATTTTTCTCTAAGATGGTGTCACAGCCAAATAGGAAGAGATCAGATGAAGCTTCTATGAGAAAAAGCAGACAAAGCATTAATTTAGAGATTGAACTAACAAATTCGGTAGAGGGAAGAATAGAGACACAATGAAGCAGAATTATGAAGAGGGCTCCCAATCCTGATCAAAAGTAACACCAGGATCTTTTACTTTATTATTGAAATCAATTTAATACCATCCAAATGAAGTTACTGACTAATCAGCTTCGTTTTCAAAGACTCTGATCCAAAGACAACAACTTCTGTTTTGTCTGCATTCAGAAAAAGAAAGTTAAAGGTACTCAAGCCCATTTCTCTTCGTGCATGCTCTATTTTAAAGGTGGTGTTATCATAGCTCATACAAGCTTACTGTGTCCGAACGTCCGCCATAACCCCTAAATCCCTCAATCACTACTTAGAGTGGGGACTTTATAGTGAACTCAGTCAACTTACCATTCAGACAGATG